TCGTTGTTTTAGAAACTTCTTGACTGAGGATGCTTGCTGTTGTAATTGCCGACGTGTATGAGGCGTAGCAAGTCATGACGAGCTTGTTGATTGACTTGCACGGCTTCGAGGGGGTGTAGGGGTTAATACAAAGATATTTAGCTTCTCAAGCACCCCCTTTGGCTCAGGGATGGTAGATTCCAGCTGCTGCAAAGTCATTTCGAATATTTAGAGGCTTAAAAACCTCTAGATGAGCTGTTGGATAAGCTCGAAGGAAGTCAAACTTATCAATATGGTTATATCCGAAGCGCATCTTTTGCTCAACGAGACCTCCATAGGCACGCTTTAATGGGCCAAAACAACTAACATCTATGGTCTGTATCGTTAGTATTTGTTGAATAGAGGTCAACTTGCTTGCCGCCCAATTTGCAAGCCCCCATGGACCATACAGTATGCAAGATTCATCTAACCCCATAATTTCCGATTGAAGGTGCTTTTCCTGTGCTGACAAAGACATAACATACTTGTTTAAGGGGGCAACGAACAACGTGCACTATTTTATCGCCTCCGTTTGCTGTTGCTCGTCCTGAAACAGTTCAGCAGTGTCCGCTGGGCGATGATAACGGACTTGTGAAACGGGTGACAGTGCAGTATGGCTTGTATGCATAACAGCATAGTCTTCTGGGACATGGCCCTCTAGTCCTCTCTGTAAACCGACTATTATTTGAGTTAGTATGTGCCTTGTACCCTAGGATACACAGTATAAACTTACATATCAGGATATACACCCACTCCACGCCAACGGGAATCCAAGTCGCTAATGCCAGGAATTGGCCAAAGGTCCATTCTAATGCTGGGTCATTGTGTCCAACATTCCCTATGATGAGGCTTCTCATAGAAAGCAGCAGCCCAAGCGATGCCCACATAAGCACAAAGCACGCAGCGGAGGTAACTGCTCTCAGAGAGTCTTCATATAGGCGTAGCAAATTTGCAGCCGGGTGCCAGTATTTCGTCCGTTCTGCCTGGTTTTCTGGCTCCCCTCGGTAGACACGAAACAAAACAGCAGCAGCCAACAACACAACAAGACTGACAGGAACAGCATTAAGCACATAAAACACAGGCGAGCCATACTTGCGGAATATCCTATCCACAGTCGATGGATTACAAGCTGCGCCTAGGGAGCTCATTGTTGACGCAACACTGGTGTGGTATATGCCCAGTCTGATCTGAACGAGGACTAGCACATACAAGATGATGTGAACGATGCCCACCAGCCACCGGCGGCGGCCACGATTTTTGACCAGGAGGCCAAGTATGAGGACGGGAAAAAGTGAGAAACACGAGACGATGGTGGCGAGCTGGGTGTCATATGCACTAACAGCTGAGCCGCTCCTCCAGGCCTGAACAGCCCTCTCAGCGTAAATTCTAGCTTGTGCTGTCATACGCAGAGAGACTATCAACATGGTCAAGCTCAGTACTGCAGCACTGCTCCAAAAGTTTCCGATGCTGCCACGGAACGCATCAAGGACTCGGGCTGCTGCAGAGATATAGCCCACTGTTTGCTTTGGAACAGATCTTTCCTGATACAGGCGGCTTTTCAGATGATGCAAACCCACTGCGACCAGAAACAGTGATACCAAAGCTGCTTCGACAAAATAGGCAATCATGACCTAAGATAGTATATCATGCTTAGCAATAATAATTTAGCACCCTGCGGGAAACAGAAATCTCACCCCATTCCCTACAAGATCCGCATTACCCTGGAACCCAACAGCGCCGCAGTATGCATCGTGGCAGACCCCTTGTGCAGCTTCATACACACTATTAAACATTTTCTCAGCACCGATTCCACTTGTGTAGTTCGCCGCGATAGCTTGCCATAGTTCTACAACCTGTGGTACTGTCGGTTCAGGGGTAGATGTGAGGAGGAAAAGCAGAGAGGAAATACTCCACGGTAATCCCAAGTGGCGCATTAAGGAGACCGTTTCTCGAAATACCAGAGAAGAATTGACCAAATAGATCGCAATCGCGTGTTAAGTTGTATTCGCCCCATGCCGGCGGCGCCCATGAGAGATTAGTTGGCCCCATCACGCTACCCTGTCTGTTCCATCTACTTGACTCTCTGGAGTGGGTTTCCGTTTGAAGCTTGATGGATAATAGCACTTGGACAGACGGAGACACCCTGAAACATACTCACTGGGCTTTATGGTTCCTTAACCTGGGGCTGGCCGTCCAGGATCCATGGTGGGCTCGGAAGCTTTTAAAGGCCTTGAACGAAAGTAAGATTTTAGTGTGAGTCCGTGCGAGGCGCTATCGTAGTTCTATTAGGCCCATCACCAAGAGCATTAGGCCAACGACAGCATACTTCAGCGTTGGACTTCCTCAAGGCGAAACGGCCCCACTAAAAATTAACTGTATAAAAACCTGCGATACATAACAATAAAGCAATCCAGTCTCGCTCTAAGTGACCAACGGTACGGCACGAGTGGCGAAGACTACGGAGTAGGGGTTGACTGGAGGGTAAGGATCAACTACAGGGTAGAGACCGACTAGTGACCGAAGATGCGGCATCAGACAGTACCTCCGTCACCCTCTTTCTCGTCCAGCTGTTGTTGCAGAAAGCATATTTCTGCTACATCAACATACAGTATTCGACTCCGTCTGCAGCGCACAGGCCGCTTAGATCCGGATTGAGCAGTCAATAGACCAATGGGGGACTTGCATTTGGCGTGGTCGCCGGTTGGTGGTCCTGGGGGGCGTAGATTATAACAACATAACCTGGATGAAGTTCCGTATGATGGACTCACGTGTCTTCCTTGCCTGGCATTGTAGGATTGCCTCCACGAGCATAGAGAGCAACATACAAATGATCTTTGTTGGATGGCATTGTGCGGGTGACCTTCACAAAAGACAGCTAGTTCTAGTGCTAATTGAACTGGATATCACTCAAATGATGCTTGACAGGAATGAATTATTCTCTAAATCTTATGTATAAGTGGGCTTCAAAGGTCTTTATATCAATTTATCTCCATAGCTTCCCAATGGTTGCCAGGATGTAGCCGCTGTCTGCGCGATGAGACATAACTTGTGTTGGGTTAAAGCTCGACTTCCAGTCCGCATCTCGACTAAGAATAGAATCAAATCAGTGGGCGCTTAATCTCTGTATCATGCCCAGAATATGCGTTCGGCGTGAATTCAGTTGGCCAATACGGAGTTAGACCCAACCGCATTTTTGATTAGCCGCCGGCCTCACTGTATACCCCTTGTCTGTCCTAGCACCTTCACCTTTAATTGTCATAGTGCTTACAGGGCTGACTATTTGGGAATCATCACGCTTCATGCGAAAAGAATTACAATGGCATTTGGCTACGGAGCAATAGCCGCTGGCTGTATTCTGACGATTTGTTTTAGATTATGGTTGTTATTTCTGACTTGGTAGATTTGAAAATCACCCGCCGCTAACTAAGGTAAGAGTGTAGATCATTAACTTACACTAATTTTATAATTGATTTTTGTAGTTTGCATAATGATGGGCAGAATTATCAAATGTTTGTTGGTAAACCGATTTCGAGAACGACTGTAAATAGAACTAATTGAGACAAAAACATACAACAGCCGGGATTCGCTGGTGGTCACCCACCCAACTACTAACCGGCCGGCGTGTGGCTTAAGTACGGCTGAGCGGACGGGAAGCCCTGTTTTCCACACCCTATGGTCGTATGTATTGGGTTCAAGATGAAACCTTTTCATAAAGTGCATTGGAGTATTATCACAGAGCTATACGGTTTTACAATGGGAGCAATATCCTTGTGGATGAACCTATATCAAACATAGAGAGGCTCGCGAATATGTGAATTAACATAGTCTGGACGGCAGATACCAGGCAGAGCCGGATGAAATAACTATAATAGGATGGATGGTTTGAATATAGCTTTGCCGGTATCCAATTTTCTCCCAGAAGTGGCAATGATACTTTGGAATATCTTGACGAGTATCAATTACGGGGCTGCCAACAACTCCCAGAGAGCCCAGGTGGCCCACACCACCCGCCATCCCGCGGCATACCAAAACGGCCGGATGGTATATTCATTCTCCTGCAGCGCGCTCCATGTGTACAGCGCCGCAAGACTAGCATTGTAAAATGCAAAGCAGGAGCCCACGATCCGACCAATTTTGGAGTGACGGATATGGTAGTCTCGCAGCAGCCAAGTGCTAAGCACATAGGGGAAGAAAGAAACGCCCGTCACCCGCATCCAGAAACGGGTCAAGGGATGAGCCAGTTCGTCGCGGTTGGGTATGACAATCGGCGAGACGAACAGAAAAGCGAAAGAGTCAAATCCTTGCACTGCTAAGGCAGAGCCGTACATCAGGCGAACAGACAGAGGCTGAAAGTGATTCTGTGGCGCGTTAGCAGCGGACAGGTAACATAGAAGGTAACCCACCATGATTGATGATCTCAGATTGTCTAACCTGATATTCTGTTTGTTGTGTTTCTTACGTCGAGTGGGTGAAGAGAGTTGCTTGAAGAATTAGAGCAGTTGACGAGGGTGGGATGTTGCAGCATAAAATTTCCGGCTTGTCATGCCGCCACCTCGTATACCTAGCGTGTGACTTTCGTATTCCAACTCAGGGGGTGGAGACGCATGTGTCGACCATTTCCATCTAGATTTATCTCCAATATGCCAATCTAAGCTTGATCTGGAGCTATTTTTGCTCCCGTATACGGATGCTTATACCTAGAGGTGTCGCCCATGGACGAGCTCTGCCGAGATCTATGGACGGACGTTCAGACATGGTACTGCCTACTACCAATATAGCCGATAATGACACGGTGACAAAATTATAGAACAACATTTATACCAAAAAGGGGTCTCTTGAGGTATTGTAGTACAGCAGGATAGTGTGCAGTCCTATCAAAGCTTATACACAATCCGAAGATCAAGGTCACCCCTGTCCATTTTGTCCTCCGTGTATTCTCCGTATCCCGGGAAACGCAGTTTCAGCAGTTCAATCCCCTCAGCAGGTACAGCACCAATAGCAGATCGCATCTTGCGCTTTGCGTCAAGGATGGTCCGGAGATCGTCGGCTTCAAGAAAGACCGAGTATGGATACTCTTGGCGACTGCCGAGCTTTCGTATGGTGTAGGTTAACCCATGCAAGAGGGAGTACTGGCTTACAAAAACAGTATCTTTGCGATCATAGCCGTAATACTTTGCGCGATGCATGTAGTCGTCAAAGATATCCTGCTGTAGCTAATCCGGCGAATAAGCATTCATTAATATGACGCAAGCGTAAAATCCCACACTTACAGCTTTAATGGTGAGCCTCAGGTCGCGCTTCCCCAGGTGGATATCTTCGTCACCACAGGCTGTGAACACGTACTCAACCCCGACTTGGATCATTCCACCGAAAAACAATTCATGAATCATAATCATCTCCCGGCTGCCCTGGTAAACCCGCTGTTCCACATAGATCCTGGGATCGGGGTGGGTCTTCTCCCTCTCAGCAATAAAAGCAGTCAATCTCACGTAGCGGCCCCTGTCGTAAGTCGCATCTGGGTGAAGAATCTCGGTCTCGTCTGGTGTGCAGTCTGATCAGTCCTCGCTGCTTAATCGCTCACGGCGCAATAACCAAGTCGCTAGGCCGTAGGGCTTTCCTACCAGTAAAGAAAACTTTCCTGAAGCGGTACCCCGGAATCTCGTTGCGCTCCCGGCTTTGATCTTGGCTCCGGGTGAATATTGTAAGGGGATTATCCCGATTGGGACTATATTCCTTGACCATGTTTTCAATAGGCCCTCTGCAGATAGACTTGCCGAAAATGCATTTCTGCGACGGCCTTGAGTTGATCGTGCTCTGGCTTCTGGGAGGCGACATTGATGTCGCCTTCGTCACTCGGGTTGCTGATCTTTTGCTGTGCAAGAGAATATTGTCGTCCTCGTCCACATCATGGATAGTCGCTGGCTCTGGAGCAGATTTCATCCTAAATTTCGGTTTGCAAAGGTGCTTTCTGTCCCAGTGGCAGAAATACACCTGGTATTCACAAAATCTCGATGGGAAGGTCAGGCAATATATGTTCTGAGGGGTAGTCTCCAAGGCTGTTCTATTATTGTGATGGTGGTGGCAGTGTCAGACTAAGTGCTGCAAAGTGACTGCGCCGCAGAAATAGACCTGTTTCAAAATAACGCACCATTTTATGAATGCTTTCATACAAAAGTCAAGCTTGACGTCTTCCAGATTGCAATATGACGTTTGGTCTTGATATAGACGTAATAGAAGATTGAGATGCCCATCTTGGTTGTTTCGAAGCCTAGGCTATCTCCTGGCTAACACGAACAAGGTATAACAGGTCTAGGTGTATTTAAACTCTTCAGAGTGTAGTCACCTACTAGGCCTGGTGTGAATCTAATAGACGCAGGTTCAAGAGCAGTTAAATACGACCTATGAGAGCAAAATCCCTCGGTTAAGCAGAAGAGTTTTCATTGCTTGAGATACTCCGAACAGACCGTAGCGAAGATCAATTCGCCCAAACCCTGCACTGTGCCTGCTTTGGCAATCGCTGTCAATGGAAGGTTCATATTCGGACAACGGCGGGACTAGTGGCGGTACTCCAGCATTATCAGGGAATCAATACGCAGAGCAGCCATCTGTGCATATCCTTGCGCGCGGGCAAAGAGTTTCAGCGGCGTAGAATGCCTTTTGAATGATTTTCTGCTGGCATAATTGGCCGTTAACACTCAAGCACTGCAATCTCAAATGCATCCAGCGCCTCCTGCTCGCTTAGCAGGCAAGCATAGGCAGCCTGCACCTTGTCTTGCAAGTTCTGCGGATCGCCCCCAAACCAACGAGGGAGGTAACAAGACCAGCATCAGTCGGTACTGGGCAAAGGACGTTAGAAACGCATTGGTGGACGAGTAGTTAACCTGGCCAGTATTACCCCTAACGCCCGTAAAAGATATGCAAAGTGACGAAAAACTGAAGATGGCCATTGTATCCCTTAAGTCCTTCTTGAAGATCCATGCACCCGCCACTTTGACGGAGACATTCTTCCAGTCAGTGTGCGCCATCTTGGGAATAAGGTGCTTTGAGAGGGTTGCAATCCCCTGATTTGTCTGGCTCTGTTGGCATTGAACTTGCACGAAGCACCATTGATGGCTACGGCACACCTCCAATCGGCCGACTGCAGAGTCGGATTGCTGCCTTTGCCATGCCAAATACTCCGACATCTCCTTGAGTCATTACTGTATTGCAGCCATGCACCTGAAATACTCGTTCCAGTCCTACCCAAAGCCCCAAAGTCGGCGACATAGCATCCAATGTCCTCGCCACGACACCCAGTCTGTCCTGCATTTCCCATACACTCCCAGATAAAGTCAGTCATCAACCTTTGCTGAGCATCTAACTCGTTCGTATTATATCCCGGAATGGATAAAGAAACTCGATGATGGCATTCCCAAGTATACCATATAGAAATTATCTCCGCCTCGTTCGCGCAGACTGAGGCTTATCCCGGTCGTAGAATGATAATACCAAGTTTTGGGGCTTCGCGGGAACATTCCCTTCTCTTGTCAATGAGACGATGCTAGAAATCATCTGCGATGTGTACATCTCCGGGCAATTGCATTCTCATTTCGACAATCTCAATTGGCAGGGGACCACCCCCTCTGCTGCTGCGAAGACGTCTTCTGCAGTGGACGATGTCCCGGTATTGGCGTGCTTATTCGGTACAGTATGCCAGCTCACTGGTTTGTATTCACGGCTCTGCTTTCTCTTCGCTTCAGATTATTAGAATATCAAGTTTGGCGCTTACCGCCAATTTGTATCGGCAGTAACATTGGATTGTTGCCGCTCCATCTGTCGAGCCCCTGATAGGTCTCCTTGCATGACTTATGCATTGGCCTGATTTGTAGGAATGTCACTGCGGATATTGATTCTTTTCTTTGATGCCCCTTGCGTGGGCAACTGTAAGGTAGGCCATACCGCAGATATCATCCCTTCGTTCTTTTCGCACCTGGCTCCTGTGCAGCTACGGATCTCTCGTGGCTGCTTGCCCCGTAACGCGAATTTCTTGACCTGGTTTCCACAATGGCACATTTAATATATCCCAGGCTTTCTCGACATAGTAGTCAAGCAGGAAATGATGAATGTCATAAGCTGAAGGCATCATGGTAAAAACAGTACAATAGAACTGGTTTAGATAAATAATCACCCAGCATTCCGTTCCGCTGGTTTACTTATGTAGTGGAATGCTCACTTTCCTAGATTTTACCAGGGAGCCAAACGCCCTCAAATAAAGGGGACTATAAAAGAGTTCTTCAAAGTAATAAGCTTCAACCTACAGAAACTCTGTACCTAGTACTTAATCTATACTAGAGATAATCTCACTCCTAAATATTGCTGAAGAAAATTTCCTGCTATGCTGCTATTAGCTATTAGCGCCACCAACATAGCAGCCACCAACATCATGCAGTCTGTCTCAGACATAGACAACCTCACCAGGAAATCTAAGAGGAGAAAAAATCCCTGCAAAACTACTAAGGAGGTCTTATAATACTCATAACACCGCTACTGTCGTAAACAGTAGCAAAGCTCTTTGCCAGAATTGTTCGCCAGAACCTCGCTAATAGCGATGGTCTCACCAGCGATGAGGCGACCAAGGACTACGATGTTACTCGAAAAACCCCCCAGTTCTACATGATGCATTGACAGTCGCCAAGGGCAAGGTAGTTTAACCTCCATGTTTGGCAGACAATTTTCCCAATCGGAGTGGTTACAAGCACTGCTTCTCTATAATCAGGCTGGGTTGAGCCCGCAAGCCCGGGAGCCCGTTCAGGATTTGCAAAGTGAGAAGATGCTTGACGAGCAGGCAAATCAACAGATTCCCGAGGAGACGATGGAGGGCTGCTACGTCCAGTGAGCAGATCAGCAAGGCCTTTGACGAGGCGGAAGCTGCATTCCTGTGAGAGTCTTCCTTGCCTCCGTCTTGGCGGTGTTTTTGGCGACCTGGGAAGATGAGCAGTAATAGCAGTAATCGAATGATTGTAGTATGGGGCTCGGCTTGAACATCTGGATGCTTCCCACGGTCCCTAGCTAACCTTAAGTAGCCAGCCTAATTCTAAATAGACTTGGCTTTTATCATGTAAGCTAAATCATGTGGCTGGGCTTGTCATTTGGGATCTGGGGAAAGGGGCAGGCTCAAGCCCTAAGGAATGATACACTCATTCTCCGTTGGTCCAATAGGTCAGACATATCTGAGGCCTGTCACTGGGGTAACGTTTCACTTCTTGCTAAATTGACTACAATCAACGGAGTACCGCCTTGTCTTCCACCTCTCAAAGTGAGCCCCTGCGCCGGCGCCAATAGGGTCACCATAACAGACAGAGGCGAGGCGCATACCTCTCGCGGCCGATAACACAGTTTAACCCTGCGCAGGTAGGGGAATTTGAATATAAGTTGGCCGAGGACCTGCATAAACATTACATCCTGAAAGATTCTGCCTCCTTCACTTTGATCTTCCTTTCTCGGTTCTCACTCTCTGCTTTAGATCATCACCCTTTTTTTAATATTAAACTCCAAACATGCAATTTTTGCTTCTTTTGTTGCTTGGCCTCGCCTTCGGTGCACCGCTCCCATTCATTACAGAGAAAGGCATACAACGTCGCGACGTGGTGAGTAAAATTCCCAACAGCCTGGTTCTGAACTTTCAAGAATACTCACAACCCTCCTAGGATGTAAGATTCAATCTGTGAAAAAGCACAGTCTCGACAGACTTGACTAACGAGATGCACCCGGTAAAAGCCGGTATAAACCTTGTCTCTCGACAGTTGACTTTAACGCGGGCTGACCGAATCTGTCTAGTTTGTGCGTTCAAACTAAAGATTCCTTATTGAGAGATTGAATTGCTGATCATTCGATAGGTTGTGGGTTATGTCCTCAATGGATAATGAAAAACAACCCTTGGCTAATCTGAGCGAACCTCCAGGATGTATGAGCTATATATCCCTTTTCTTTGAGCAGTTGCTACATGTATCAGCTCTAACAGCAATAACTCAGGTGGTACGTAAGACATGGACCTACTCATCATACTCACGCTCACAATAAGGCGCAGCTTGTACGTAACTCCTATATATTATGGGCTTGCTGAGGCACCTACTCACATATTATAAAGGCTGTAAGTGGCAAGATTGAATAAATCAATCCTAGTAATTTTCACTGACTCGATGAATTGCGCAGATTGTACGTTCATCATGCACCATTATGAGCAAAATGGCAATTATCGCAGAGCTATTTAGAGTCATAACTAACCAAAACGGCAGGGTGTATGATCTCTATAGACACTGAATACTCTGATTATCCTCTATTAACAGGTGTTTAGTTTGTAAGTAGCCACCTGTTTGTATGAGCTCTGGTCCGATGCTAACTGCACTTCTAGCATGTATGATCTGATTCTGCTATCCTTTGCGCGTCAGCTTCTACAATGACTAACGTGTACACAAAGGATGTACGAAATCAGTATCCCAAGGCTTACTGCTGATCATAGTCTCTGATTGTGTCGTTAGGTGGTATGGCATCCCGTCATTTGATTACTGTTGAATCTGACTGACGCCAAAATATAGCTTGTATGGAATTGAACCTTTGATTTCCCCAGGTCATTGATGCAACAGTGCTGAACGAAAGGTTTCTAGAAAGTAAGTCACTCTAACAATGAAACGCCAATGAAACGTCAGCTGACCGAGTGACTCTTAGGATGTACGACCTCCACTACCAGATGCGAAACCGTAAACTAACAGTACAAAATTCCACAGGTGGTATGTTCTCATGCTTCGGATGTGGCTGACCTTCCAACACACGCTGATTATATGGGAAATCAAGAAAGTATGTCATATCAATTTGTCTAATGACATTGATCCAGTTTGGAGCTGACAAGAACATAGCTTGTAGGAACTCTTTCCGAGAAATACACTAATACTCTGTCTATTAACTTGCCTGATGTGATAGAGTGTATGACCCTTTCCACTTGAAAATGTTGACTGAGATGTCTGTGACTGAGGCAAAACTAGTTTGTAAGCAGAACGACTCTCTAGTTGCTGGTGATAGTGCTGACTCGACATTCTAGGACGTAAGATTCATCCATGAGACTCTGTTATCCGAATCTCAATGAACTGACTCGCCATGGTTGGATATCACAGTGTGTATGTTTATCACCCGACAGTTGTGAGTCTTTGGGTTAATCATATTCGATCCTCGAATCCACAGATTGTGAGTCACTTCTCTGGCCTTCTCTCTTGTAGGAATTGAGTATTCCACTGACGTTAGGACTACCCAGGTCGTGAGTACATTCTATCGGACTGTAAAGCAAATTCGATCACGGACCAGTGGCCAACTAATATGCCATCCCAGAATGTATGCTATACTTGCTCATCTCGTCTTCTATGAAGGTCAAACATGCTGATACCGATAACAGTGCCAAGAGACCGCCGCCAAACTCAAGGAGAAGGAAGGTAAGAATGACACAGGCGCAACTCATCACTAATATGCATAATAGATTTCTCGACCATCCAACCAGACTCAGGTTCATCGTTAGCAGTACGGAAGACCGACTTTGTGGTGCTACAGACATCACTCACTACATCCGTAGGTATATCAGTCGAGCCTTAGTACAGGTTTTCGCCCGTAGGGTTTTCCCTGTACTCTAGTGTGAATACAAAGGCCTGAATCAAAGTGTGGAGTCAACCAGTTCCTCTTCCAATGCATTCTCATCGTAATGTATCGGATGGCATTTCTGTTTGTGATGAGACCTCTCCGTAGTACTCCGTCTTCACCATCTTATGTACCTTATCCTCTGCGAGGTCACAACTGAACAGCCAAGCTTTTTCGTATTTAGAAGGATATCAGTAGTTAAAAGCCAATCATGAACTAGGTATGAGAGAAGATCTGGGGTCAGCTTCCTATACCCAGTGGCCCCAGTTTTCTGCCTGATTTTTTATACCCTCTGTACGGCTCTAAATTGCCCAAGGTGCCCGGGCCGTAGAATAAATTTGGTTGCTTAGATTGCAAGCTTGGGCGTGTCCAAGGATGTTTTCTTTCTCGTCTGGGACCTCCGCTGCATCTCCCAAAGATCTTCTCGCGTGGGTTTTGGAAGATATGGCAGGAGAGAGAAGGCCTGCTGGGTCATTGTTCCAGATCAGACAATAAGTTAGCTGCTTGAGACCTAGCGTCGGTAACCTGCAGGTCCGCATCATCGTCATTCTAAGGTTTGTTGGAGGTGAAGATCGGGACTACAAACAACTTGGAGCTCATGTAACTCTTTAATCGACGAACAATTGAACGCTTTGATTATTCCCGCCCAGTCTCCGTCCTGGTTCAGCTCGCTTGCTTGAAAATCCATCGGAAATCTTGCCTCAATTCGACGCTCGTCCTCCACGGAGCGCTGCGTAGTTAAGGCGTAGGACCGTTGTTGGTATTTGTTTACCTGACAGAGTAGATCAATGACTAGGGCTTATTACTTTATCTATTTGCACGTGGATGACAATGTCCTTAGATCTTTTTTAAGTCGCAAGTTGACCCCGCGCGCCAAGTGTCAAACTTGGCTTTATTAGCCGACGAGCTCTCGTATAAACCGCCCACAGCCCCTCCGATATGAGCAGGATCTGAATGACTTTTTCTTTCATTTCATCGCAACCTGGCATCAGTATGTCGTCGCTGTATAAATGCACATCTTGCAATGAGCTCATCCAGCCTACGAAAGCGCGTCTCTCATGTGCTTCCTGCGTGCCCCGCATAACCCTATGCGCCAACTGTTACGTTGTACAGAATTATCCTTCACAGCATCAGGATGACCCCTCGCATGCAATCTCACTACACGCACACAGTGGCTTTATCCCTGTCCCTCCACCGCCTCCACCCCGAGCGCAGTCTGTCCGAAGCCCACATTGTCCACCCCGGCGCCGTCCTGTATCTGTTTCGAACAGAGACAGCGATGTCCCGCCGAAGAAACCTCCACGTCCTACAAATCCAGAACCAAGAAGTGAGGAACCGGTGGAGAACACAGTGCCAGCAACGCCGATGTCAATGAAGTCCGCATCTCAGGGTCCGCCTCCAGAAACAGAAAATGAAGCAGAAGCGGAAAAAGCTGCCCCAACTATTCCGTATGCATCGAGACCAGTATTGCAGAGTCCGCCCTTGGAAACCACCGAGCCATCTCCTCATCCACCACATCCACATTCATCTACAAGCTGGATCCCGCTCTTCACTGAGGACATGAAACCCTCGGCTTCCTTTATGAGATTAATCGAAGAGCTCTTCCGCCACCTAGACCCCCAGCGCACGGGGTACCTCAGTCCAGAAGCCGTCTCTGAGTACATAGACGTGTGTGGCGCACCACCTAGCCACAACATTTGTATGTATATCGATAGTCCTCCTACTATTACACGTCCCACCAGATTAACAATCTAACACACGGAACAGGGAAAACCAGCCGCACCAAAAACCCAGAATACGGCTATGACCTGGCCGACCGCGAACTAGCCGACCACTTCACAGCATACGGCGTCGACTTCGCCTTCCGTCCACGCACTCCACCCACAACACCCGTCAATTCCCCCCTAGATCCCCTGTCCTATTTCCCCCCGGCTCAGCGCGCTGCCATGGCCGCCTTCATGCCCGCCACACCCGTGAACTCCCTCTCCGGAGGAAAAAAACCCATGCTGTCATTCCGAGGCTGGACGGACCTTACAGTCTGCGGTGTGCTTCTGAACCCATCTGCGTCATGCGGGGAGTTAAATCGCGCCATGCAGGCGTTCCAGTTGCCGATTTGGAGAGAGTGGGGTGATATTCCTCGGGATATGTTACCGCTTGCACCGTATCAGCCGGAGGTTGAGAGGGTCAGGGTATTGCTTGAGGGGGCGAGACTTAATGCGGAGCAGGAGGTTGATGCAGTTCATGCGAGGTTGAAGATGGAGCAGAGGGGAGAGCAGAATGCGTTGGATTTGGTGGATGATCGGGTTTGGGTTTATCGTTGGTAGCCAGCCAATGCCATAGTACGATAGGGGGAAGGTTCGTGTTTTTCAAGGTTAACATATTATTTGGAGTTGTCATTAATCCCCGGGTAGAAAGGCTGAAATATGTTAAGCGTTAAGGCTAAGAGAAGCTAGTGTGAATCTTCTCCGCTGAGGAATGACCTCTGTTTCATTCATAGGCCAGCCTGTGGGTTCGGTGTAGGTACACAACCTTGAGGGCTTCAAACAATATCGAGCAAGTCATCTACTTCATCCGGACAGATGGTTTCATGGCACACGGGGCAGGTGTTGTGAAGGCGCAGGAACCATTTTTCGAGGCACCAACAGTGGAAGACATGTCGACATTCCAGGCAACGCACTGACTGGGTTTTCAGAACTTCTTCAAGGCAGATCGCACTGTGACACCGGGAGTATCAGCATGCATCACCACAACCGACATACCGGATGCGTATACCGACCAAATGATAGGATCATTCTTAGACAGCAACGGGCTTTCTTCATCGTACCATGAAGCCTGCCAGTTCTGTAGGGAGTCCACTGGAGCAGCTTCATCAAGATGCTCGAGCCTCTGTTCTCGAGTTTGAGTTGCTGTAAACGTATATGGATAATCAATGCTTGGCTGTATCAGGTGCGGATATTGCCTGATGCGGTCCCATAACCTCAACACGACCCTTCCCATTGTCCAATGTCTTATCAGCTTAATTTCCCTAGCTACTGCTCAACCATGCACAGCGCCATGGTGGGCCAAGATAGTCCATAAGAACTCGAGCACTTACAAAATTGCAAGTACTATATAGAAGATAGTGCAACATATGACAACTGATTTCGCTAGAGCCGCATCTTCCCCGTCTTCCCCTGTGTTTGTCGGCTGGGTGTCGTTCATCATGTGCGCTGCGAGGAATAAAAGCTGAGAGGTCTAATAAAAATATGATCGATTTGCTGTCACTGCCATACTCTCCAAGTGATATATATTCTATAATATAGGGTCCGACATCCGTTTGAAGGGAAAAGGCATCTCTGGCAATCCCTTCTAGTCGTATGATGGATGCTCCGGGAAGATATGCAAGCACTGTTCGTGGTTCTTTGCCGGAAAGTCCGCAGACCTTGGTTCACGGAATGACCCGCCAGATTAGCAGAGGTCAGCCCACCAGAAAACTTAATAGCAGGTGTCGGCCAACCAGCAATATTGGCCGTCGCTACAGTTAGGGTGTCCAACCCATTAAATGCTACATTTTAGAAGCCGGCGTGACATCATCGTATTTGCAGTGATTGGTAGCTGCAAACAAATATAAGGGTGCGTAGCCGCATGCGAGCGACTGGTCTACAATGGTGAAAACTCAATATTTGCATAGACCCTAATCGATATATCCAATGCCAAGGATGGCTGAGACGTCAAACATTCAGAGGAGAGACCCAAGCAATGTGCAGGCATGGCTTGTTGGCAGTGGAATGGCCTGCCTGGCGGCTGCTGTTCATCTAATTCGCGAGGGCAACGTTCCTGGTAAAAACATCCACATCCTCGATTTGCATCTGGGGTTCGGTGGCGAAATGGGAACCTCTGGAGACGCGCAAAACGGATATTTCGTTCCCTTCGAGTGCCATCCATATTTTCATGGCGAGTGTATGAAGAATCTACTGTCTATAATACCTAGCCCTGGCGAACCTAGCAAATCCATGATGGACAATATCTACTTCTTTGAAAAGACTGAGCGGCAACCGCCACAGGACTTTGCGATGACGCGGGCAATAAAGCTGGGAAAGTCTGGACCCGAAGCCGTTTACACCGGGGGCATCCAGGTGGGATTAAAACATCGATTGGAGTTGATGAAGTTCATCTTGGAGAGCGAGACAAGCTTAGGCGCGAAAAGCATCAATCAGATCTTTCAGCAGTCCTTCTTTGAAACTGGGTTCTGGACACTATGGTCGACAGCGTATGCCCCTTAATGGCACCCTCAATATAACCTCTAACAACTCTTCAACAGGTTTGCTTTCCAGCCTTGGCATAGTGCTGTCGAGTTCCGAAGGCATCTTCGCAAATACCTAGAGGATATCCAGTATATCAATGACGTTAAGAGAGCCTACCGGACTGAGTACAACCTATTCGACTCTATCACTGTCCCTATCGCAGAATTTCTGAAAGGAGAGGGGGTTGATTTCCGCTTTAACATTGAAGTTACTGATCTACTGCTCTATCCTGAAAGTGACCCTACCACAGTTTCTGAAATTAAGCTGATCAAAGATGGAGATGAATGCCTGATTACATTGGACCCAGAAGACATTTGTCTTGTCGACCCAGGTTACTGCCGTTCGGGGGCGGTCTTTGGCAGTGATGATACTTCTCCTCCGTATCTTACCTCTAACTGGGAAGATTTGATGATGAAGGAGTGGAAACTGTGGCAGAAGTTATCTGACAAGTCTCCTAAATTTGGAAACCCAGCCAACTTCTTGTCACGGGCTCTTGAATCAGGCGTAGAAACGTTTACTACGACTATCTGGGGCTCACAGTTTATGAACCTGTATGGGAAGCTCACTCATGACCGGCCAGGAACGGGTGCCATGCTCTCTTTGACAGACAGCAAGTGGTCAATTACACTGAGTATCCCGCATCAACCATTATTCCCAACACAACCCCAGGATGTTAATGTTATATGTGGATACGCTCTGAGCCCTTCCAATGAAGGCAATTTTGTGGAGAAACCAATGTTCGCATGCTCCGGCAAGGAGATCTTCACTGAGGTTCTTTCCCATCTCGGGTTTCCCATTCAATCCATCCTCGAAAATGCGACTACTATTCCCTGTGGGATGCCCCTGGGCACTGCACCGTTTTTGACACGGGGGAGTAAAGATCGCCCACATGTGATCCCACCTTACACTACCAACATTGCGTGCGTCGGCCAGTTTGCAGAGCTTGCAGAAGATACCACCCTGAGCATGGAGTACAGCGTGCGAAGCGCTCAGACGGCCGTCTATGAGTTGATGGGACTGCAGAAGGAGCCAGCCAAGACCAAGACAAATATTCTCTTGGAGCTGTTCGATTTATTAATATAAAGCATAATCGACATGTTATTCTTCTTCCGGGTCGAGTTTATTGAGCGCCGATGATTCTATTTCGTCTTCTGCCGGTCCTTCTTTTGGTCATTTTGGTCCTTTGTTTACCCATATCTGTCCTAAATTGTGCATTGGCAATGGCCCAAGAAGCCTAATTTTAAGATTCAGTATGCCAACAATGCTTAACAGCTCTCTAGTGGCATGCGGCATTTAGTTCTCAATCAACCAGGTGGAGTTCCTTTGATAGTGTTAGTATATGGACATGTGTCCGACGGAAACCTAAACTAAAAATCGTACTGTAGCTGTATTGCCCTAAAACAGGCAAATAGCTAGCTCAACCAGACCCCACTAGTACAAAGGGAACAAGGCCCGGAAACTTGAGTCTTGTGAGCCGTGGGCCAACAACTTGAGCCATGGATCGAGTTGTTGGCAGACAGTGGCTAGACCAACAGCTGACGACAGTATACGAATGCTATCCAGCTTAATCATCGCCGGAACTGTGTATCTCCTGACCAGAATTTAACTATCAGTAGACTATGAATTCAGTTCAGTTAGCATGTGTTTAGTTCGTTGGACTGTTCGAAAGCCTATACATAATGCGCACGTGCAGCCTGAGGCCATGTAACCCTTCGCGGAACAAGACGACGAAATAACTGCCAACATGGGGACGATTCCAGAACATCTATACCATATAATACTGGCAACCTCTCATATCAATAAAAATCCCAACAACATTGTTGAAAAAGTACGCATCCCTGGGACCTATACATCTCTGTTGGCGGCTAAAGCCGCGGCACACAGCTGTTTGTTTGACGCTGGGTATGAGCGAGAGTTCTTCACCGAGTACGAGGTCAACCCGGCTGTTTTCGAAAAACCAGATTTCGTTGAGCGCCCTGGCCTGGCAGTTCGCGCTGTAGCCGCAGACGGGAGTACATGCCGGGTTCGGATCCAGACGACCCCGAATAACAAGTGCTTAACGACAGATCTTGAGGATGGTAGGATATCGATCCCGCTGTACTATGTGATTGAGACTGTCGTCGTGTATGACGGGAAAAAGGAGACAACAAGTGTCCGAGATCTGAACGTTGAGGGGACGTTCAAAACATATGACGAAGCTTGGGCTTTTGCAAAGCAGCTATTACTTTCCAAGGAGGATAAGGTTACCAAAGACAGCTTCGCGGAGTATGATGAGGCCGCACCCGGTGAGAAAAATTGCGGATATGGGGCGAACGTGATTGTGCATGCACTTAGTAATTATGGGGAGAATTTCCTGATTAGTGTCATTGAGACTCAGGAACTGCAAAATGTCGCTTTGACAGAGGCGACGATGAGGATTGCTTGAGGGTGGTTGTTCATAATGTCTAAACAGTGGAAATACATCGCACAAGACATTGGAGTTTTTGAACGCCTACTCCGTCATCCTGTCTTGGGACCACTCATGGCCCTTGGATAAAAAATTTGATCTTTGTTTGTTAATCCTATACCTTGGTGGAGATAAACCTGCCGTTCAAATGGAACCATAAAGTGATCACTTTACAGCATCGCTTTGCAAGGCCATTGATCTTTTGAGTTACTCAACACCACAAGGAGTTTTCAGACATTCAATTTATGTCGCACGCCCTGGAACCACTGGAATGTCTCAACAGGGCTGTTTACTTTCGATGCCGATTTTGCATCATCAACGTGACCCCACACAAGTAACACGGATACTTCCAAGAAGCATATTCTTCTTAACCTTTTGAGGCTTTCTCTCCGGCCCCATCAGACTACAAACTGCCATCTCAGCTCCTCGAACCTATACTCTATGCCACATGCCGTATCCTCAATGATGAACTCTTGTATATAGGAACTCATGTATTACCTACAGGAACAAGCATATGTAAAAGAAGAGAAGCAGAAATAGCAGAAAATGTCAGGGTGGCATGATGTTTTCGAGTGAGGTCATGCCTCTAATGAATCTCGATCTAAGCGTCATTCCCCGCAGCACCCGATCAGCAATTCCAGCCAGCGCCATAACCTTAAAAAACTTAAGCCTCACATACGCACATATTGTATTTAACTGGATGACAGCATAGTAAAACGTCATGAGTTAGGCGCTCGCCCCAAATCAACTAAAGCTCACGATCTTCGCTTTCTATTTACTACAATCTGTATATTTATCACCGTAGTAGTAGTCATCATGCTCTCCACCACTGGGCCTCGCATTGGCATTGTCGGTGTGGGCCAGGTTGGCGCCGCAGCCGCGAACGCGCTGATCATGAACTCGGTCGCGCGCGAGCTGATCCTGGTCGATATCAAATCTGAGCTCCGAAATGCCCAAGTCCAAGAACTCTGCGACGTGAGCCGAATGAGCGGACGCGCAGAAACGCGCGTCCGACTAGGGACATACCACGAGGCCGGGCAGTGCGACATTGTTCTCATCACCGCCGGGTCCAAGTATTCCGTCGGCGAAACCAGCGTGCAACACATGTATCGCAACCTGGGGGTCGTCCGGAGCGTGATCCAAGCGATGCGCCCCTTCCGTTCCGATGCCATACTCCTGGTCGTGTCGAATCCCGTCGATCTGCTGACCACTCTCGCGCAGCAGCTCTCCGGTCTGCCCCCCTCGCAAGTCTTGGGGTCTGGTACCCTTCTTGACTCGGTTCGGCTGCGTGGGCTCTTGGCCAACAAAGCTGGAGTGCGTGAGGACCGATCCTGAACGTGACCTGACTGACGCTTGTGATGATAGATCTCCGCAGACGCCATAGATATCTATGTCCTTGGTGTGCAGGGTCCCGAGGAGATCGTGGCCTGGTCGACGGCCACTGCGGGTGGTCTGCCACTGGCCTCCGCTGTGCCACCGGATACGTTCGATCCTGTCCAGCTCAGCAATGAGTGCAAGCAGATCTCCCAGGCCATTATCAAGGCCAAGGGGGCAATGCCCCTTGGGATCGGTGCTATCATCTCCAAGATCTGTTCATCCATCCTCCTCGATCAGCGGGATATCCTTCCCATCAGCCATTTTCAAGAGGAGTTCGGCTGTTGTTTCAGTTTGCCAGTAGTCTTGGGACGGAAGGGAATTGTCAGGACGGTTTGGAAGCCTGTCGATGCGGAGGAGTGGGGTGGAATTGCCAAGTCAGCCGCAGCCTTGAATGAGATGATTGAGCATGTTAACGAGTGACTGGTCCGTCGCCTGGTGCAGTGAGGATATGATTCTCTATTATCTATTCCCCGGGCTTTGTCTCGTATACTCTTTGGCTCTAATCGATCGATATAAGTGCAATAGTATCTGAGGAGGATCCATGACATGTAGCTTACAATCTTAAATTATATCATACAAAGCATGAATTAAGACACCTTTTAGATCTCAGGACACGTAGACTATCAAGGCTACTCCCATAAACATGCTCAACGATTGGGAATGCCCCGCTCACTTCTAATCAGATGCCGCTTGACGGCTACGAAACTGTCCGGACTGACTGATATCGAATCGATTCCCGAGTCTGATAGGAACTGAGCAAACTGGGGATGGTCGCTCGGTGCCTGGCCACAGATCCCGATCTTGCAGCCCCTCTGGCGTGCCACCGTGATCACCCGTGCAATCATCCACTTGACAGCCTCGTCTTGTTCGTTGAAGATGTCCGCCAGCTCAGCCGAGTCGCGGTCGACCCCAAGAGTAAGCTGCGTCAAGTCGTTGGAGCCGATGGAGAACCCGTCAAAGCAGTCCGCGAACTCCGCGGCCAGAATGACGTTGCTGGGGATCTCGCACATCACATACACCTGGAGGCCATGCTCCCCGCGCCGCAGCCCATTATCTGCCATCACCTCTAGCACCTTGTGCGCCTCGTCCACCGTGCGACAGAAGGGGATCATCACGATGGCGTTTGTAAAGCCCATCTCGTCGCGCAATCGCTTAATGGCCCGGCATTCGAGCGCGAAGCCCTCTCTGTACCGCGGCGAGTAGTAGCGTGACGCGCCCCGAAAGCCGATCATCGGGTTGTCCTCCTGTGGTTCGAATTCCGCGCCGCCAATGAGCCCGGCATACTCGTTCGTCTTGAAGTCGCTCATGCGGAGGATGGCGGGACGGGGATAGACGGAGGCACAGAGAGCCGCGAGTCCCTGCGCCAACTGGTCCACAAAATAGTCGCAACGGTCGTGCTCATACCCCGTCGTCAGCCGCGCAATCTCGGCTTTGGCCTCTGCATCCTGCAGCCGGTCGAAGTGGACCAGTGCCATGGGGTGCACCCTGATCGCGTTACTGACGACGAACTCCATGCGCGCCAGCCCGATCCCGTCCGCGGGCAGCCGCCACCAGCGGTAAGCGGCCGCCGGGTTGGCCAGGTTGATCATCACCTGGGTCTTCACTGGCGGCAGGTCCTGCAGATCCACGGTCTGGGTGGTGATCTCCGCGCGACCCTCGTAGACCAGGCCCGTGGTCCCCTCGGCGCAGGAGACCGTTATCTCCTGCTTGGTGTGCAGCACATAGGTAGCATTGCCCGTGCCCACAACCGCCGGAAGGCCCAGCTCGCGGCTGACGATCGCAGCGTGCGAGGTGCGGCCGCCATGGTCCGTGACGATCGCGGCCGCCCGCTTCATAATGGGCACCCAGTCCGGGTCCGTGGTCGGAGTCACCAGAATCGACCCGTCGAGGAACCGGTCCTGGTCCCGAGCCGATTCGATGAGGCAGACGCGGCCAGCGACCGCCGCTTCTCCGATAGAGAGGCCCGTGGCCAGCACCCGGCCCTTGCCGCGGCCGACCTGGTACGTGTGGAGGCGGGCAGTCGCATCACCCCGGCGCGAATGCACCGTTTCTGGCCTCGCCTGAACGATGTACAGGCGGCCCGTGATCCCATCCTTGGCCCATTCCATGTCCATGGGGCCCGCATAATGGCCCTCAATGGTACACGCCCAGCTTGCGAGCTGGAGAATCTCCGAATCGCTGAGAACGAAAGCGGCGCGCTCAGCCTTGGACGTCGGCACGTTATGCGTCGGCTGTTGCGGATCGTCACTGTAGATCATCTTGATAGCCTTGTCCCCTCGCTTCCTGCTGATGATGGGCCGCAGCCGGGGCTTGCCTAGCAGAGGCTTGAAGATTTGATATTCATCCGGGTCGACCGCACCCTGAACGACGTTTTCGCCGAGACCCCACGCGGCATTGATGAGCACAACCTGATCGAAGCCGCTTTCTGTGTCGATAGAGAACATGACGCCGGACCCGCCGGCGTCCGACCGCACCATCTGCTGCACGCCGACGGACAGCGCAACGCTCATCTGGTCAAAGCCCTTGGTGCGACGGTAGCTGATGGCCCGGTCGGTGAAGAGCGAGGCGTAGCACCGCCGGCAGGCATCCAGCACTGCCCTCTCCCCGCTCACGTTGAGGTACGATTCGAGCTGACCGGCGAAGCTGGCGTCCGGCAAGTCCTCGGCAGTAGCGCTCGAGCGAACTGCCACGCTCGGTTCAAAGACACCTACTCGGGTCGCCAGGGCGCGATAGGCGTCCCGGATGTGACTGGCGGCATCTTCCGGCCAACTTCCACGAAGAAACAGCCGGCGCATTGCCCTGCCCGTCTCCGCCAGGGTTGTGTGTCCCGCTTCCCAGTCCACAATCAGCCCGGCCATCTTGTCCCGAATCCCATTGGCGTCCACGTAGTCCCAGTACGCCTGGGCCGTTGTGGCAAAGCCAGCAGGGACCGCGATTCCCTTTGCCTCAAGGGTGTTGATCATCTCACCCAGTGAGGCATTCTTACCTCCGACGACGGCACCATCATGGAGTCGGATTTGCTCAAAGTCGCGCACCAGAAGATCGTTGTTCTGTTTGCTATTTGCCATTCTTGCTTATACCTTTGTTCCTTCTCTGAGATAGAAAAGCTACATCGTGTAGGCGAATCTCTGCATGACTGAAGAAGTTCCGCAGGTCCTGAACCGTAAAATAGGCTAGGTGCACCCGGCTGAATGGTACATGGTCACCCCATACTCAACAGAAAAGGCCAAAGGACCGGAAAATCCAATCGCCCAAGGGTTCCATGGATGAAACAGATCCCGCACTCAGCCAGTGTCTCGGGCAATCCCCAAACTGAATCACATGGCAACTCCAAAGATCTCCTGATCCTAGAGTACGCCGCATACAGATGACGCCATCATTACCATTGTTGATTTTCAGCATGACCTCCTCAGTATCCCAGCGATCAGTGACACTCCATGTGTGTCCGAAGGGGCTAAGTAACTAGGCACTCGCAGGGCCGTCCATATTGCTCCTGGAGACCAGCTCGTAGGTCACCGTGACCACACATGGAGCCAAGAAGCTACTTTTTCTTTCCCGTCACATGACCTCGTCTTTGGATAAGACCATAGTTGAGTTCTTAAGGCCATTTCAGGCCAGAAGGTTGAAGTTGAAGCATACTGTTAAGCTCAGTAGTTGAAGAAGTCTTAGTAGAGGTAAACTAGCCTACTTTCCATGATAACAATCCACGAATGTGAAAACTAGCGTTATTTTTCCACCTTAATAAAATATGAAGCTTTGAATATACATAATATCCTCAATTGCCAAAATGAAACAGTTGCTGCAGGTTCAAGATACTTACTGCGAGACTACTAAGGATAGGCAAAATGTCGCTTCTTCACAGGCTTGCCGCCGACTGAGCCAACCGATGAATATCTCCGCCATCTGGCTCAATCCTTTCGCCTTTTGACAACTTTGATGCTATATAAAACCAGGAGATAGCATTCCCGACAGTGGTATATTGGTCTGGAAGGCTATTCCGTGAGGGCAATGTCATCTGCGGCGAGAGTTTGGGATCATTGAGCTGACGAAAGAGATGTGAGATAGATTTGCGGTCATCTTTGTCCACCAGCCATGTGGTAGGGTTATTCTCTAGGAATGAATAAAAACTTGCTACCTTGATCGTGATCAGAGGCTTCTGTTTCTGAGTGGCGCACAGGAGAAATTCAGGAATTCCCTCGGGGATGGATAGTTGTATGACGACTTTAGCATGCGAAAGAAGCACATTCCACAATTGATCAGGACCTCCAAGCTCTATGACGCAGATCAGGTGTGAGATGTCGTTCATCTCGGTGTTGATGTGCCGCATGACATCTTCATAGAGGAGTGCGCTCTCACGGCCTTTAGGAGGGCCATGGCGGCATATAAGTAACTTTGGAATGGACGCTTTTGGACTTTCCTTCATCCATTGGCAACAAAACATTTGATATGCTTGCAGAATAATCACAGTCTCATCGTTGGGTCTGAATTGTGCAAGATGTAGAATATATTGCTCTAAGGGGTAAATAAGAATGTTAGCAGAGCATTGACAGATTGCAATAGGAGATGGGGGGCCTTTGCCTTCCGGATATTGTATAATCGGTGCGTTGAGAGTTTTGCACAGGGAGTTGAATAGTTGACCATAGAAGGCGATGTCTGGCTGATTCATATGCTTGTTAAAGCCGTCAAGTCTACTGATTATTAGCGGGTTCAAGTCATATATGCTGAAGGCCGCCTCACTGGTCAACAGAAACTGGAATATATCCCACACGCTTTCTGGGGAATATCTGCGGTGCCAAAACTTTCGGTACTGGAGAAACCAGTAGGTCCACATGTTCTGACCTCGTCTGCACAAAGTCCCAGACCCTAGCTGAAGGACTATTGGGATCCTCAGCCATGTTATTCTGGACCATTAGACGGTTTTCATATAGTACTGGTCTCCCGGGGTCCTGCTGCTTGGACAAAAGCGCCAAGGAGAGTAAAGGTGCACTGTCAATGACCACCACATCTACGCCTCCTTTTGACCTGGGTTGAAGGGGCCCATTGTGCTGCAGCCAATATCGCCGGGCATTCTCATACACCCACTCTAAAATCTCTAACTCCTCGTCAAAGGAAAGACACTTGAGGGAGTTGCCCAACCCCTCTAGGATATCCCTCATCTTCTGAGCAATATTGACTATCCCTGGACGTGGCTTCGCAACATACCTGTTAGGTTAGCAATATGTCAAAAACCCTCTTACCCAAGAACGTTACTAGAGGTCAAAGCCCAAGCTTTGAAAAAGGAAACCTTGTACTCACCATCTAAAGTCAACGCCCATACAATGAGCAAACCTCACCAGGGCATGTCTCATATGTTCGTCGGGTTTGCCGTGCAACGTAATGCTGAAGAATGCAACTTTTACTTGCTTTTCTCTAAGTTCCCCGGCATATTGCTGAGCAATAGCCCATGACCTCGGTTCAACAGTTCGTTCGTAGTCTTGCTTATCTGCAAGATGTGCCCTGAAATGACTATCAACCTCCACAAGCGTGTCATGACTGATCTGGGTGTGGATCACATGTCCAATTCCAAATGATCTGGAAGCTGTTAGCAACAGATCGCCTGGTCCTCCAACTTAGCTAGATACCGTATGCACTTTCGCGCCATGGAATCTGCCTGCTCATCTAGTGCTTTTCTTTCCCAGCCTCTGAAGGTGGCCACCTCACCCCGGTCATGTGCAGTTCTCGCACGAGCTTCATGTCTCAGCACCAACGGCACAATATCAAGCTTGAACCAAAGCTGTGAGCAAAGACCTGGGCATTTGAGGACAAGGGACTCTGGCAAGCCAGCACCGATGAATTTTTCATTGTATTTGGCGCTGTAGTTCTGGAATTGCGAGATGATCTTCCGGCTGAGTTCAATCGGATCTCTCGAAGCACGCTCTTCCAATTCATGACTGAGACACTCCAGCAAGTATGTCGAGTTACGAATTACGATCACAATTCGACATCCAGAGCCTTCTTCGACGAGCTCTGAAATTCCTGCCCAGATAGTCTTGGTACATCTGTTAGAGCCATATTGGATTATAGTTTAACAGAAGAATGAAACAAAAGCGTAGACTGAGGCAATCTTTCCTACCTACATTTGGAGTTTGCCCTGACCAGGAAACTTCCCTAGGTAAGGGTTGAATTGGACTGTCCTGGTTCTTATGACTCCTTAGGTCGGCCATTCTTGCCTCCCTGTCAACTGTATTAATGAAAGGATTCAGGTTTAATTAAGAGAGTACATCCGAATTATGGTGGTGGTGATTTCTCCCTCTGAAATGCCGATCCTCTGTATACAATTTTGACCCAGATGCCCCTGCCGTGAGCTACTAGCTTTTTTAATTTACTGCAATCAGGACATCTAGACTTCATGACATCAAAGCTAGCCATTAGTAGAAGCGCTCTGGATCATCCCACTGGTCAATACTTACCATATGGGGGGGTGAGTCTCGGGAAAAATGTTGATGAGGTTGCCACCAAAATCATGCCACTTCATTTGAATTTAAGGCACGTGGTCATTGGACTTTTAATGTTATAACTGGAACAAAATCTTTATGCTTCATGGATGTCATAATTATACACAGTGTTCTCTGTCTACTTGGAATTCATGACTGCCTCTGTAGTTTCAAACAAATCATATTTATTGAATTGATTCTCCCAGGCGGTCCGAGAATAATGGGACTCTCTTTCTGTCTGAGGATGTAAATGACTTCGATAAATCTCAGCAATCGTTGTTGCTCTGTAGAGATGATCGCAAGAGGGAAGAAGCCAGGTCTGGTCTCAGTTTCAGGACAGCCCATTCATGCTGCGAGAATAAATCATACATCGTCACTCTGCTCTTACAGCGGTGTTTTTTTTCGACGCCCATTCTATCGAAGAACCTTATTGAAACTATGTGACCTAGAAGAGAGTGTGGGGTTGCAAGCTTGATGCTTGCTAAGGGCCATATTCAACGAAAGCAGCTGTAGATGAAAAATGGGACGTGTCTAAGTTATATACTTCAGAAAGTGCTTCCTTATCATACCTAGTCCTAACAGTCAGGAAACCATGAAAATTAATCATATAGTGAAAAATTATCATCTTCAGCTAGGGACTTGATAGATCTATAAAGAGTAATAAAATAGATTTTCTGACGTGGCTAGCAGAGACAACTATATTACTTTGGAAGTAACTCTATACTACTATAAATTATGAGTGTCCACCACCCCAATGTAATATGTAGCCCCCAAAAGTGACACAGTCTAATATATTAGTTACCCTGTTAGATGGGCTAGTTAAGATTCTCTACTAGATTTGGCGACCACTATTTAGTATTTGCAATCTTTAACACCTATTTATTAAAGAGCCGCCTGAAACTGTGTATCCTGGAAGTGGTTTATAAGCTTGATCTAGGGCTTAAGTTAATAACTTTATAGAGTTTATCATAAATAATTATATATTGTTCTTCCTTCAGCATTACACCTAATAATAGTATTAACTATTTAATAATAAATTTATTTGAGCTTACGCTTATACTAAGTCTTGATACATTACTAAACAGGTTTTTACTTACACTCTTCATGGGTTATAATATGCAAGAGGCAGGGCGGGCTTATAAGGGACTTTCCTGCACGTCTTCGGATTTATGATGACCTCAGTGTACAAGGAGTATGACCATTTCCTGTTGGCGCAGAGGACCTGCAGTCGCATCGGAGCAAGTTGTATATTCTACGCCGGTTAGTGCATCACTGGCAATAAAATCGCCTACACACGCTAACGTAGACAGCCCTCGGAGCCTCAAGCACATGGTTCAGTCGAAATGCCAGACTAGCCATCGGCATCGTCGTCCAGCGGGCCCGGTCTAGGCGGAGTTGTCTTTCCCATCATGTTCAACAAGCCCCTGCCAGAGACTGGCTTTGCGTGGACCATGCGCACCTCCGCCTTCATCATCCTCGGCCTTCTGGCCGTCGCCAATGGCTCTGTCCGGACTCGTTTGCCTCCTAATCCTAAGCCAGGTAGCCCGAAGGACCTGGTGATGCCATTCACAGAGCCCCTTTCCTGCCTGCCTGCCATGGGGGCAGTCCTCTTTTCATTCAGTTTTTTTTCCCACCCAATCACTCCAATAGGATAACCTAGGATGTACATAACATTCCTTCATAACCATACTTAAGTGTTAGTTTTGACTTTTAACCTATATATAGTTAATGCCAGCGCCATCACTACATAGCATATATCTAGATAGAATTAAACATTCTCTAGCTATCTAAGTAATAGAATATATTATAGCCTCCTATAAGATATATATATAGTAGCTATAGAAACTGCCCCCAGGCAGCTCCCTACTTCTTCCTAAGGAAACCAGCCTTTTCCAAGTCATCATAGCAGCCAGGTGTTTTAGCAACTAGTGCCTAGTTCTTCTATAGAATAAGTTTTCAATAGACTAAAGAGGGAAGAGTGAATCATTCCTAGTCCACTAATTATGGGGCAGTTTACGCAATAATTCTCTATCATCTTAGTATAGAGGGATACTTAGAGTTAAGCATACACCCTTAGAGACTTGCTTAATATAATAGTGTAAATAGTTTCGCATGGCATGACAACTATGGGATGTTTTATTGATTAGATGATCATACCTAGTTAGGGGATTGTCCTAGGGTTAGCTTATCTACCAGAGTGATGCAAAGTTAATATAAATTTAGCAAAGAGTATGGTAATTTATCCATTTCAGGCATTTAGTGGTCGCTTATTCAAGTGATATCATGGTGGTAGAGCCATCTTATCAGCCTTCTGTATACACTTGCCGGCATTCCACAATACTGTGTAATCTATGCTCCGTTCCCTAAGATCGGAATACAGATGCTTCCAAACAAAACCCAGCCCGCGATTTGGCGAGGTCTAGCTGGAGTAGTATTTAGTCACGTCACTCACGTGTATCCTGGCTTCAACCCCGCTCAGCCGAGAAATAAGTATCTCCGTCCCGTGTGCTTACATCCCACCAGTTAACAGTTCAATAGTCATAATGACGGTTGGCTTGGAGAGCTGTCCTCCGGAGATCATCGGAAGCATTGTCAGAGTGCTAGATTTGACAGATGTGGGCAACCTCCGCCTGACGAGCAGATGCCTTCGATCAAAAGCGACACAGGGCCACTTCCGGTCCTGCTTCTGGTCCAAGCGCGTCAAATTCACCGGCCCTGAGCTCGAAAATCTCGCGATTGTAACGCAGCGCGGCTGGCTCGGATGCGAAATAAACGATCTCACGCTCGTGGGAGTTGTGAACAACACTGAGAGACTCGAAGAAGCTGTGTGGGTAAATTCAGACGATCCGAAAAAGACAGACCTTGAAACCCTCCAGCAGCGACAGCGAGATTACGAGCGACTACTAGAGTCAGGAGAGCTCGTTCATATCCTAGGCAACGTTTTCAAGAATATAGTGGCAAATAACTCTACCGGAAAGCTTCGCTCCTTGTCTCTTGAAGTCATAGTTTATCTTTCAAATGCGAAAGACGAACTCGCTCCTCCTGCTGGTGGACCTTGGAGACCTATCTGGCAGATGGCTGCGGAGACACACCGAATTGTTTTCTCGGCATTGATGGACAGTAACCTTGAAATTGACAGCTTGAATATCTTCAACAGGGCCGGCCTGCAGCGCTGCAGCATTGCCGGTAACGAGCTCAGCAGCATCGACTATGCCGCCGAAGGACTCATTATGCCGCTCCGCTCCCTGGAGTCCTTGTCGATCAGTGTTTCAGAGCCCATTTTGCACGTAACACTAGATGATCTTCTCAACGACGACTCGGAGTACGAAGTCACCTCGGAGGATGAGGACCAGGCCCGGGAAGAAGCCATGATGAAGGCAAACGATGAACGCAACTTTACGGGCCTGGCAAGCCTTATCCAAGCCTGTAGAAACCTTAAACACCTGGACATCCACCACTGTCGAGTAGAACTGGGGCATCCGTTCGCGAACATTCCGAATGAGCGGCTCTTCGGGCGCGTAGCCGCCCTAGACACCCTGCCTCAGTTAGAAGGCTGCGGTCTTCGCGGTCTCTCTCTCACGGAGGACGACCTGCTTGCTTTTCTCAGACGTCTCTCTTCCTCTCTCCGCCGCTTCGAGATGGAAACCATCACCATGACCTCTGGGACATTCGGGTCTATCTTCGAGCTTCTTACTGCTACCAGTACCAGTATCAGTACCAGTGCGGGTGCCGATGCCGCTGATGCTGCCCCCTTTCCGAACCTGCAGTATCTATACCTTGACACCCTTAGAGTCGGAAGAGACCTGGTCTTTTTCACGGGCGTTGGCAAACTGAGATACCCCATTAATCATTGGAATCCCGCACATGGAGGCAATACATTGTCAAGGCAGGGCAAGGAGGACATCAAAACGCCGATTGAGTATCATGGACCAACTAACTCGGCTCCTGTTGGCTCTCCTTTTGTTCAGCAATGGTTGCAGGATCAGCGGATGAAATACGGGCCTCCATAACTGTACATAACGACACATTGACTGAACAGTGTTTGAGGTATCCTTCTAGATGTCTGTATGTATCTTGTTCTTCTCCATAGCATACTATACTGAATAGTAAGCGTATCTAAACGAACAAGCAAGCAAGCAAGCAGCTTCTCCAACCCGCAAGATCTCCACGCTGAAATCAGACCTCAAAGAATTCCAGTATCCACCAGCGTAGGCGGGGTTTCTTAGGCAGCTAGCCAGCTAGCTGTGCCGGGCGGATCCTGCCCAGGACTTCTCCCCATCCTCGTACCAAAGTCTCCAGTCGGCGTTCCCTGAATCATCCGCATTCCGATCGTACTCGAAAAGTGCGACGCCCCTGTAGTACTGCTCGTACGGCTCCCTGGTATCGTAATTATAATTCACACTGTCGATTCCGGGGATAAGGTTTTTTAGGAGGGCGACCCTACACAATTACAACCACACAATTAGCATTAGTGCACTCACAACAACCCCCACTATCGCGTAGCAAGGTAGGATAGAGTAAAAGACGGGAAAGAAGGAAGAAGGGAAGGGCGTACAACTGCTCTTGCTGCGACGCATGTGGCGCGTGGAGGCAGCTTCTGTTTGGCTCTCGACCATGAGTCTAGGTCTCAATCGCGCCGATCGACCGGTGCTTATCCTTCTTTCCCCACCCGCCCCAAAAAACGGGAAATTAGAAGACACCGTTGGTTCAGGCATTTTCTAATATCTCTCGCGTGTTCTAACTGGCACAAACTTCGACGCACCCTGGTCGAGGAAACAATGTCCTCATTAGCCTCTCCTCCATCTCTTACCTTGTCTCTCCACTCAGACCCTGGTATGCGCGATTTTATCCCACCATGACACCACCCAGTGCTGCACTCAATACCGTCGCGGCCTGATTACCAGGTTCCATCACTGGAGAACAGCTATCCACTATCCTCGTCCTATAAAGAGGTCTGCTGCTGTTTTCATTTGCAACCCCTGCTCAAAATGCGGCCAAGCGCCATGCCAAGGTGACCATCGCCCTACCTCCACGGTGTCCTCCACCGTGGTTGACCTTTTCTCCAGCAAGTTGACTGCGCCGCAGTCTCCAGACTCCTCCTCTGTGTGCTGTCCACATATACCTGGTGCCAACCTGGACCGAAAATAACAATTTGCTGACTGTTGCCTTGAATATCTCTCTGTCTGTCCAGGACCCAAGAACACTCCTTCTCTACCTGGTGGACGATTGATACTCCCGCTTGTTATGTCTCTTGCAAACCACTGTGATGCCTAAAATCAGTGCATCAGTCCGGCTGATACCCTGATAGAGGTTTTGTCCCATCCAATTCCAAATTTCTGCCAACAAAAAAGACACAAGGACGGTACTGAACCAGACTGCCGGGTCCGGTACACACTTCCGTCCAGTATGCCTGTTCAAGCTGTCATTGTGTAGAAAAGGCTACTTTTGCCATGAGAAGGCGCTATGAACTGCCCCAAAGCACAGAAACGGGGTGTTATGTGGGGCTCAGCAAGCATAGATTAAAGGAGAGGGCGCAGATAATGATAAGGCTTCTAATAGCAGAAGGGTCACTAACTTATGGCTTGACTGAAAGCACCCCTAATAACTTTCCATACATTTCTCATTCCACTGAGGTGGCGTAGCCCGTTATCTAACAGAGCCGTTGGATTCCTTAAATAGGAAGAAGATGGAACAGCTAGACCAGAACAGTTAGCATCATTCTCAAAGCAAGAAGTGCCGCAAATTTCTCTAAGCGCCTGCTTAGTTTAGGTATCTGGGAGGGCGAAAACCCAAGTGATATTATTGGACGGTACGGAAGACAGAAGATATCCTCCACATGGAGATCAAGCTTGTGAATACAAAGACAATGGCATGATTCAACAATGTATTTAATCATCACTTGTTTGAGAGGGTCCAGACTAGACACTACTGCGTATCTTGGTATTCCGACCTATTAAGCATACCGTGGCATAACTATGGCTCAGATGATTGAATTCTATTTGCCAGATCCAGCGGTTGCTTATTGGGCTTTTAGGGGCTTAGCCTTGCGGGGGAGCAGAATTAGGAATAGAGGAAATTGTGGCACTTTAGCCTTGGATTAGGCCGAGATGGGATTGCGTGAGTTGGGGTCCCGCCCATAGTCAGTCCTATATTTATACCAGAGAATGCTTCCACGCGCTTCTGCTGAGCGTATACAGATATATGTCATCTGCGGCAGGCTTTTAGCGTCATCCGCGACGGCATAACCATGACCACTCCACAGCGCCGCAAGCTCCGCCGCAACGAGAACATCCCTCACAACTTTATCCAGAGTTGGCAATGCCCTACGGCTGATGGTGTACGGCCAGTGGTTCGCCGACCAATCACCGCCTGTGAATCATGTCGCACAGCGAAGGTCAAGTGTACAGGGAATCAGAGCACCTGTGATCGATGCACTAGTCGGGGAATCCCCTGCAGATACACCGCACCCTCCTCCACCAGCTCCTCGAGTCCTCGATCTACTGACTCTTCTGGGCATCCCAAGAACGTCGATAGCTCGACGACATCCAACAGCCAGTCGCCCGCCAGCGGTAATACCTCGCTGTCTATAGCCAAGCCGTCAGCGGTTCCGATGTCCATGGACTGGGGAATGGATACTGCAGATCCCCTGCGTCTCAGCGAGGGGGTCCGCGAGCAAGACCTCGATACCATGGTTGAGTGGCCAAATGATATGTCCAATTATCTCTTTGACTGGTCCTTCCAAGATCTGTCCCATAATGTACAGTAACCCCCCGGGGATACGACGCTCCGGCAGCTCACTCTTTCCGAGAGAATTCCGATACGCTAACATTGGAAATAGGCTATTGCCTCCCCAAATAGTCTATCAACAGAGGATATGCATGTCTTCCAACCACTGGCGGCACAGACGTCTCCATCGCCAATCCAGAATGGTAGCCCCACTATCACGCCAGCATCAATTCCGGCCGCCTCCGTGCCACTACAGAGCCCGCTGCCCTCACAGGGAAGCTGCCAATGCCGCACGGATCTCATGCGTCAGGTTCCCGAGGTCAACAACGCGATGCGAGCCAAGCCACAGCCTCATCTCGACCGAATCTTCAAGGTGACGGGCAACGTTCTCTGGGCGTGTCGGGATCTCATCAAGTGTGCGAGCTGCCAACTCAGCTACGCAGACCTCGTCTGTATTGTGGCAGTCCTTCAACAAACGGGGACATGCTTCGAGCACATCGCCAGTGCAGGCCTGGCGGCTAGTGCTATCAAGGTTTGTGTTGGCCAATATGAGGTCCCGATCGCCAACGGAATCAAGCTGCGGCATATGCTCGTCATGGATCTGGTAGCCCAGGCCAACTGTTTATTGTCGCTCTTGCGCAATCGAGGTCAGAGCCTGGTGGAGTCGCAGCCAGCCACGCGTGACCGCCTCACGCAGATCAATATAGACTACATGCAGGAGGTTGTTAAGAGCTTCGAGCATACGCTGCGATCGATCGCCGACTCACTTGAGAAACCAGCATCGGATGGGGGAACGAATTAGACTATAATAGATCTCAAAGCCAGCCGGCTATGCATCATGTGTACGTGCATAACACGCATAAGTGCATAAGTGCATAAGTGCATAAGGTCGTGGGATTGTGACAAGAACAGTTGCGTATCGGAGTTGTAGGGTTTCCTATTTTGCATAGGGTAACTATCTACTTTTATGATTTGGTGCATTTTATGTTAGAATACTGCTTGCTACCCATGCTGCTTCTTCAGGCTCACTCGTCCACATTATCATTGCGTACTTCCCCGCCACAGACAATGACCAGGGCACTTCCAGAGTCTCATAGGGCCATATCTGCTCTACCTGTGTGCAGACCAAATACAAGTGTATCTATCTGAAAATCGACGGCCGCTGCTAGGTATGCAGTGATGAGAGTCTGTGGTCAATAATTAGAGAACAGATGTAGATGTTAGCGCCTGAACAATGACTGTGTCCAGCCTGTTTCTTATATGTGCCCGGCAGCTCCCATATCAGCCAGCCCAAGGCTGCCCGCTTGGAGAAGAAGCTGAAAAACCTGATGTTGCTCCCGGGTGCTGGTATTCAACACTAGTTGCTCCTTGCGGGAGGGAGTACCAATGCCTTAAGTCCTGGATCCTTCTGGGTCTATCTCGAACCCACTATGCGTTTCTGGAAATTTTTTCTGACGAATGGGGACATATTATGAAGGGTTGGTTAGATTTCGCGTCTAGAATTGAGACACGTCATCAAAACTGACACGAGATAGAACGAACCCAAGGAAACCCCGGCTTTCGGTGTATATCTATATTGAGTCTTGAATATTGTAGTAACTACACTATACTTTGACATCCAATTCCGTCTGCTGCGCCCGCTCCTCCTCCGCGCACAAGAACCCAATCCCGTCAACAACATCATCCAACCACCCCTGGCTCACCTCCATCTGCAGAAACCTCCAGAACCCATGCGGCTGCCCCGAGTAAAGATGAATCTTACTCTTCGTCCCCGAATGCCGCTCCAGCAACCTCTGCCAGAGAAACGCTTCATCGCGAAGCGGGTCGCGTCCGCAGATCTGGAAATACGCTCGCCCCGGGAGTTTGGAGTGGTCTTTGTTCAGCAGAAACGAGATCCTCGGATCCTCCGGCGGACAACCATATAGGTCTTGGATATCGGTAAGAGATTTGCGGGTTAGCAAGGGGTTGTCGGCGTTTTGCTCGAGGCTGAGGAGATGCTTCTCTGTCCATTCCGCCGGAGCAAGTGGGTATGCTTGCGGCATCAAGCAAACCGGAATGGAGATGAAGAGGCCTGTGATTGGCGGAGAGAGCCCGGCGTCGCGCGCACTGTAAGCGATTACTCCGGCGAAATTGGCGCCGGATTAGTTGCCTCCGATGAGGAACCCTGCTCTTGCAGGGGACGCGCTGAGATGGGCTTCTCCATTGATGGCGGCCTTTCAATCCTGTAGGCAGCGGATATTTCTTTCCTGTACAGTGCTTGAGGATAGAAGAACTAACCCACTCTGTGGCATCATAGCTATCATTCAAGCCATGCGGAAACGGCCATTTGGGTGCAAGTCGGTATCCCACATTAAGAACACTGATATTGAGCCTAACTGCCAGCACACGGCAATTTAAATCGCCGCTCTCGAGGCCACCGAACGGAAACCCGCCAGCATGGAGATAGATGAGCATTGGACGTCCACGCTCGTTCGGAGGTGCCCTCGTAGCAACGTAGCTCCGAACCGGTATTGCATAGCCATCTCGGGCTGGGACCGTAAAATCGGTGACAGTGACCGACTGTTCGCTGATATCGTCTGGTACTTGCCGTAGGGGGATTTGGGCTTCTATTTCGCTGAAAATGCGCTTTCGTTCCACGAGGCCGACGCGGTCGAGATTAATGAGCTGAGGTTGGGAGGCGACGAGCTGGCCATTGACTCTTCAAGAATGGTGGAATGTAAGGGTAGCAACCTTTGTCCATTGTGGGCTTACTTTCGAGTATTGTGCGAATTCCGCCATGATGGAAACCCTTCACGGGTACTATGCCAGATGACTCCGAACCATTCTCTTGCATATATATATATACGTATATTCATTGCTCGGGATATTCGTTTCCCTATCTGGTTTATGTTCATACGGTGCTAGCTACCATGTATAAGGCCAATGCAAGTAAGCTATGTCCTTCGCGCAACAAACCGTTGCTGTTTAATCTCATCACCTCCCTGCCATTTCACACCGTTATCACACGACTCAGACGCATACGGGATCAAGTCAGAAGTGACCTCCCATTTCCCATTTGGATCTGCCTCCCAGAGATGACGAATCGTTTCCTGGCTATGATGGTACAGCGACCACCCGCACGCATTCTCGCAGAGAGTACCTCCTTTTCCTGTTGTGGCGAGGTGGCGTCCAAAGACCAGCGAACCTCTCCCGCGCAATAACCGACTCAGCTGCAGTACGATTGCCTTCTGCTGCTCTATGTTGAACAGATGCAGAAATGAACCGAGGAAGATGATATCGATCTTGCCGCGCCAGTCCTCTAAAAATTCCTCATCCAGGACATCCCCTGTCAGAAAATGGGCCTTCAGTCGGTGTTTGTCTTTAAACAGCTGGTAGCCGAGATCTAGGAAGCGCGGCTCAGTGTCGACACCGATGAGGTTTTCAGCTGGAGCACCGTGGTGCGCGAGTTTGCGAATATCCTGACCAAAGCAGCAGCCGAGATCCAAGAACGTTTCACCGGCGCGAATGCGCGAGAGAACTTCTGGGTACACTGGTTGAAGATAGGCAGGAAAGTCGAGGAATCGGAAGAGGCCGATACAGGGAAATGGCAAGCTGGAGAAGTCACAGTGAGTCAAACCATCAAGTCACTGGGAACCGTCCACGTTTCCCATCACCCTCTCATTGCTTCCCTGTGCTTTGGCGTAGCTGATTCAGGGTTTTGGGATACTTCGAAGTAGGTCGTCGTCCAACCCTGTGGGGGGATCTATTTCCCAAAAGGGAAGGAATTTTCCGAAGCCCTGAGCCAGAAAGGGAAATGTGAATTCCGAACATGCACCATACGGACTTTGAGAGCAAGCAAGGAAAGAAATGTTCGATTAGAAATCAGTCTCCCTGCTCAAGAATGTTGATTACCAACACTGACAAATATTGGGGGCGTATGCGGCGTCGATCATGGGACTGTTGTCTGATAAAGTTCCAGATTCGCGAGCCCTCTATACATTAACCACTTATTCTCGTCGACACTAATCCTGGGCCTCATTACTACGCGTATCTCCAATGTCAGCAGCTGTCCCCGATGAGAAGGCGCCCAACGTGGTAGCTGAGAGCTCTTGCTCGTCCACGGCCTACACCACCCCTGACAACGAGAGGCAGGAAGCCCCGGGGGATGAGCCGGAGGCTCCTCCCCGCGATATTAGTGGATGGAAGTGGTGGCTTGTGATGGCGTCTATCTTGTCCTCAATTTTCTTCTACGCCCTCGATAATACCGTGGTTGCGGACATCCAGCCCGTCATTATCGGAGATCTCGGCGAGCTCGAGAAACTGACCTGGCTGAGCGTGGCCTTCCTTCTGGGCGCCACCGCTACGAACCTGATCTGGGGGAAGGTCTACAGCCAATTCAACGCGAAGTGGACGTACATTCTGAACGTCGCCGTTTTCGAGATTGGATCCGCCGTCTGTGGAGCGGCGCCGAGCATGAACGTGATGATTGTCGGACGTGCCTTATGCGGAGTAGCAGGCGCAGGCCTGTATGTTGGTGTCATGACGCTCATTGCTATGACGACCTCGCTGCCAGAGCGCCCGCTGTACGTGGGTGGAACTGGTCTGACCTGGGGGATTGGAATTGTTCTCGGTCCTGTCGTTGGAGGAGGATTCAGTGAGTCTTCCGTGGGCTGGCGCTGGGCCTTCTACATCAACCTGCTTATTGGCGCCCTCTGTGCTCCGGTCTATCTCTTTCTGCTGCCGAGCAAGGATCCGCGACCCGGGGTCGCACTGAGGGAGCGTTCTCGCGAGGTGGACATTGTTGGAGCGGCACTGCAGATGGCAGCTTTGACAACCTTCATCCTCGCCATCTCATGGGGGGGAGTCGTCTACCCCTGGAACTCGGGGCAGGTCATCGGTCTCTTTGTGGCATCTGGCGTGCTGCTCATTGTCCTGGGTTCCCAGCAGGTCTTTCTGGTCTTCACCACAATCGAGCGCCGCATCATACCCGTAGAGTTTTTCGGCTCTCGCACCGTGCTCATCCTCTTTGCCTCCACTGCTGCTGCTGGTGCCTCTGCTTTCGTTCCAATCTACATGATTCCACTTTACTTCCAGTTTACCCGGGGGGACGCTGCCCTTGATGCAGGCGTCCGACTACTGCCATTCATCATCCTGATGGTCGCCACCATCCTAACTAACGGAGCATTCCTCTCCAAGTTTGGCTACTACATGCCATGGTACACAGCAGGTGGTCTCCTCGCCCTAACTGGTGGTGCCTTGATGTACACTGTCGACCTGAACACGTCAACCAGCCGCATTTATGGATACACAGTGATTCTTGGTCTCGGTGTAGGTCTCTGGATCCAAGCATCCTTCGCTGTCGCCCAGGCAGTCGTGGAGCCCAAATACGTCCCTGCAGCCGTGGGTTTCATCACCCTGGCCCAGTTCGCCGGCATCACCATCGTCATGGCAATTGCCAACACAATCTTCCTGAACGAATACCTGTCCAGTATCCCTCGCATCCTGCCAAACGTCCCTCGCGAAGAGATTGAGGCAGCCATCCAAGGTACCAGTGATCTCCTGGACAGATTAAGCTCGGATGTCCGAACCCGCGTCTTAGAAGCCATCGTCTCCGGGATCAGCAAGTCATACGCCCTTGTCATCGCGTCAGGAGCCCTCGTTGCCGTTCTGAGTTTACTCATGAAGCACGAGCGGTTGTTCAATGTTTCTGCTGCTGTTGGTGCCGCCTAAAGATGCACTATCGCGGAAAAGGTACCACGTTATCTGCGAGGCCACCCTTCATCCTCCAGCCTCAGAATAGTACTCCTTTCTTATTTCACTTGAGTCTCCTGTTGTTTCATTCCAGTACTGGGCAGCTGCATATGAAACGGAGTTTGATTCCCACTCGCTTCAGTTCGTATCAAAGAATGACAAACCTCGTATCCACGCTGGACATGACCCACGATGTCAGTCGGAATAAGTCGCTTCAGTTCGTATCAAAGAATGACTCAAACCTCGTATCCACGCTAGACATGACCTCACGAATGTCCAGTACAACAAAGTTCTGATCATCATTTCGGGGGTTCGGAATAATCATGAAGATTTCTGGTGTTGCAATGTCAGATTTGCCCTAGAACGTGACGTAGCTGGAAATTTGGCTTCACTCAGAGCGGATTCCTTTCATCCCTCATCCCTATAGACTTGAGCGAGCTACTGTCCACAAACTGATCCATTTGTCAGATCAGCAGTAAACGCATTACCTCATTCATTGCCTAGCCGGCGTTGTAGAGATGCTTGCATATCCTCTCTTTCTGTATTGAAAGCCAAAAATATTCATCTTCTATCTGTTAGCTACAAGGCATCATGTACTCCAGATGCCAGCTTCGCAGACAGCTGGTGAAGGCACAGGATTCATCATTAGCCAGTCGCAGCAGTTTCTCATCACAGCTAACTAGCATCACACTGCTCATCTCAATCAAGCTCACCATCCTCTACTTCCCTCTTGTAGGGCCTTCATTATTAGCAGTCGCCATCCCTGTTCAGATTGGGAACGGATAAAAGAAAGTGAAAGGCGATAAATGTTGATAAAGAGGAACCGTGTCTCTTGACAGATCACTCCACGAGCCAATGACAAAAACAAATAATTCATTTAAGCGGTCCTCATGCAAATGCACATGTAAATGGAGCTTAGACGAGTAGCGCAGAAGGTCTCCCCGTCAAATCATTAGCAAATACCATGGTAATGTTGTCCTGAAGTCTAAAAAAAGCATCGTCCACTTCCTTCCAGCTCCACCGGCCACCGCGACACACGAGCTCTCCGATGCGGCCGACAGCCACCCAGACACGTGAACTCTGTCTATTATTCTTCTGGGATCGTATAATTGAGGCTTCAATTGTCTACAGCGTCCATCTGCATGTGACTATTATTAAACCATCCACGTCGGGTCCGAACTTCTCCACAATTCCAGTCACACAACACGCTACTTTAGCATGAGCTCATTCGGCACAGGTCTTTGGACTCTCCGAAATTTGTTCCATTAAAGCCCCAACCCATCTAAAGCCGATTCGGAGATTCGGTCTCATATAAGCTGCGCCGCGTTGGACTTGCTGAGGGTAATAATTATTCGCACTGCTTTCTCTATCATTGCCTCGATTTCAAATTACATAGCTCCAAAATGCCGTCGCCGTCGGGATCCCTTCCCCAGTTCGATTCCATAGAAGACTCGATCAAGGCCTTTAGTGAGTTAGCCTCTTCTGAGGTCCTCCGCAAGCGCTGAGGATTAGGACACGGAGACGCTAACAGTCCATGCTCAACGCAGAGAACGGAGAATTCATAATCGTCCTTGACTCCCAAGATCGTGAGAATGAAGGCGATCTTATCATTGCCGCGGAGTCAATCACAGATGCCCAGATGGCGTTCCTAGTCCGCTATACGAGGTTAGTATGCCCTCCTCTGCACACAAACCCGGGCACTCAGCGCGCTTCTCGATGCGATCTAACATTTCCTCTTTCCGGACCTACAGTGGTCTGATCTGTGCACCGATTAGCTCTGAAATCGCCCGCCGCCTCTCCCTGCCACAGATGGTGGTTGAGAGCACAGACCCCAGGGGAACAGCATACACCATCTCCATCGACTCCAGCGATCCATCTGTCACGACAGGGATCTCCGCACAAGACCGCTCCCTGACATGCCGCACACTTGCCTCTCTGACCGCCAAATCTGAGCACTTCCGGCGACCGGGCCACATTATCCCAATCGAGGCGAAGAGCGGCGGAGTCCGTGAGAGAAAGGGACACACAGAGGCGACGGTGGACTTTTGCCGCCTGGCAGGTAAATCGCCTGTCGGTGTGATTGGGGAGTTGGTAGAGGATGGTGAGCTCACCGAGGGAATTCCTGAAGTCAGGGGTAATAATGGTATGATGAGACGCGATGGGTGCTTGAAGTTCGGCAAGGCATGGGGAATCAACGTGTGCACGATCGAAGATTTGGTCGAGTACCTTGAGAGGACAGAGGGACCTATTTCAAACAGGAAGTATTGATCTCTTGATTAGATTGATGTTCTGTTATCTGGTTCCAATGGTTTCTCTTTTAAATTTCTCTCTCCTCTCATGTACTCTGCTATGTTGAGTAAGTAATGTTATTATGGCGGGACACCGAACTGCGTAGAAACATAATGAAATCCGTGCATTATCATTTAGGGATGCTTAATAAGACTACGACAATCAACATGAATTTTTTTAACATATGTCTATATAGCAATGTGGCTACTTCTAATGATTCGGAATGGACGCGCAGCCGGCTGCTTGATGTGCAAGTGAAAAGAGTCTATGGCTGCCAATCTATGAGAGGCTACTCAAGTGGAATGCGTATCCTGCTTTCTGCAAACGGGTCGGCTTCGGCCAATAAATGCCGCATTTTCTGCTCATGCAAGATCAATCCCAAAGAGCTCTTCAATTTTGTCGACTAGTACTAATACAGGATACGATCTGGAGGTCGTGGGTGATATTAAATCAGGGCTTATGTCTGCATCCTATACATGGAAATAGTGGCGGTAGCTGATAATACTAGTTGCTGCTGGCAAGTGTGAGTCACAAATCCCTTTGTTTGGCGCTGATACGGCCGTGGATTATGCTCTTTGATCCAATGTCTTATTATGCGCCACTTATCTGGCGTCTGTCTTCCGGATTTCAAGGTTCTGAGCTTCTAATTAGCTGAAATCTCCAATGAACCAAACTCCATACTCATACTTAAGAACTATCGTTGGCTGTGGAAAAACCTGTCGCAAGGAAGTGCTTATTGCAATTTCCTTTCTCCACTCCGATCTCCACTATACGCCACAGACGGACAGAACTCTTGTTCTGGCACTCGCTATACAGCTGTACATTACTTAGGGTGTGGACTTTGCGCGGAGTTAAGCTAGTACAACATATCGGATCCAAATGAAAACGGCCGGCACTGCTGGCATTACAGATAGCGGATTTGCAGAATGAGAGAATCATCTCGAGACAGATACGCTCTTATTTTTGTGTCCTCCATCTGAAACAACATCGAAATTAATTCGCCATGACATCCGCTACCAAATACAGCTCCAAGTTAGTCAACCAGCGTGTTCTAATCTTCGGTGGAACATCCGGGATTGGTTTCTGCGTTGCGGAAGCCGCTATCGAGAACGGTGCCCACCTTATCCTCTCGAGCTCGAATACCGCCAAGCTCGAGAAAGCAGTCGCCCGACTACGTGAAGCGTACCCATCTCAAGTAGCACAACGGCCCATAACCACGCAAACTTGTGACCTTTCCGACACGGAGAATCTCGACGCCAATCTTGCAAATCTCTTCCAAGCCGCCAGTAGTAACGGCGCCAGCAAGATCAATCATGTTGTGTTCACAGCAGGTGATGCGCTAGACTTCCCTGAGCTCGTTGACCTGACTCCCGATCTGATTCAGAAAAGCGGAGTCGTGCGCTTTGTCGCGCCCCTGATGGTCGCCAAGTATATCCGTCAGTATATGGATCTGACAACGACCAGCTCCTTCACGTTGACAGGCGGCCTGCGTGCCCACAAGCCTGCTCCTAGATGGAGCTTAGTTTCTGGGTGGGCTGCGGGCGTAGAGGGTCTTGTGAGGGGTCTAGCGCTGGACCTCAAGCCGTTGCGTGTTAACATGGTGCCTCCTGGAGCCGTGCATACGGAGCTGTTCTCACGATTTCCAAGCGAGCAGCTTGAGGGATTTCTGAAGATGCTCAATAATCAGTCAACGACAGGAACTGTTGGTCGGCCGGAGGATGTGGCGGAGGCATACCTGTATCTAATGAAGGACCAATTTGTGTCTGGAAGTATTGTCCAGACGAATGGGGGAGCATTGTTGGTTTAGAAGTGGACTCGCTAGCTCCTGCTGACTCGTAGGGTGTGGGTCACTTGGTCTCCTATGAGTATGATCATCCTTCATAGACATGCTCTAGACAGTTTCAAGAGGAGAAATGTGGATTCGCCTACTTAGTTTGGCCTTGTTAGTTTGTTTCTTAGCGAGTGGATCTGTTCCAACGATGGATGATAATAGCGGATTTAAGGGTTATATCCGGGCAAGAAATGTGGGACCTCGCCTATCCTCATAACTATATAGCGCCTATTTCTATTGAACATACAGACAGACAGATAGACAAAAGACTTTTAATTTACAATTCATCACTCGTGACCCTTCTCCTGTGTCCTCTCTCTGTCTCTCACTCCAAGTTAAACAGACGCGCGAGCCATAACTCGCAGACAAAGGGTCCATAATATTGTTATTTCTCGATGCAGGCCTTCACTCTCCCGCTCTCGAATAATGCTACTGTGGCGGGTATACATTCTATTCCTTCAGTCTCCGTTGGATCTCCTGTTAGTCACCGTCCACTGATCGTTGCTTTGCATGGTGGAACGTATGACTGTCATTATTTCGATGGCACTCCGGAGTTTTCTGCCTTTATAGCAAGCAACGCTTTTGGATTACCATTTGTATCAATCGACCGACCTTGCTATGGGGGCACAAGTTCCTTCTTGCCCATACCTGAGGGTTCTGATTTTAACCAAAAAACTGGCTTTTGGTTGCATCACTATATCCTTCCAGCCTTGTGGTCGAAATTTGGCGGTGGTTGCAACTGTGTTATTCTCTTATGCCATAGTCTTGGAGTAATGGGAGGAATTATTGCTGCGGCTATGCATGCACAGGATGAGAATCCATTGTATCCGCTAGGAGGACTTATTGCATCTGGGTTGGGGGAGAAGCAACCCCCGTCTGCGGGGAGCACTCCTCCTAATATCCATATAAGGATAGGGGCTGACCATCTTCTGATGCCAGTCGATATTAAAGACAAAATAATGTTCCGGCCGGGAACTACTAGCCCAGAGGTTCTAGCCCAGAGCAAGCGCCTTAATGTGCCAATTCCGGATGCCGAGGTACAGCATTTCCGGGACGTTTGGTTTCCTACGTGGCGTGAAAAATGGGCGCGCCATGTAGTTGTGCCTGTCATGTTTGCTCTTGTGGACAAGGATCCCTTCTTTGACGTTACAAAGCAGGAACTCGAAAATTGCATATCAGCATTCAAGAACAGTGTCCGAGTTGATGGTAGCTTGGTTCGGGGCGCGCCTCATTGCATGGAGTTGAGTTACTGGTCTCAGGGATGGTATGCTCGTTGTTTCGGGTTTGCGATGGAATGTTCTGCCAGCATCTTATTTACGAACCAGGGGTGATTCTTTTGCTGCGTTAACAGCTCCATAGGAAGTGTTCAATGCATCTATACCAAAGTCTACACTGCCTAGTCGAACTTTTGGGGGGTTTCTAATTGTAGTATGTTCTGATTTAGAGCAACAGACCACCTGTACTAAATGACTTGGTTAGACTTAGGTCTAATTTGGCTGCATCACGATCTTGTGGGGCATAGTTTGCTTTGTGCATGTGTCTTATAAAACTTCCTCCCGGAAGGTAGTTATCGTAGTGCTCAACCATCAACGAGGTTATAAATCATACTTCAATGCTCAGCCACAGAAATTATTAGATGACTCCAATGCTGCGTTATATAGTCATTAATTATGGAGGTCATATTAGCCAGAAAGAGCGACCTTCATGCGCAAGTTAGTAAATATTCTTGCGAAGACTGCTTTCCATACGTACACTGATCCAGGACACAGTATATATGCAGGGAATTGCAACGAATGGCAAAGATATCTAACTCCCTTCTTCCTCGTAAGTCAAGGAAACAAGGAGGGAAAGCCACGCTGCGATGATGGAGTTGACAGAACATTGAAATAACTTGCAAGGGCCTAGAACATTGTTTTCAGGGAGGCTTCCTAGTAGAAGCAGCCGGAATAAACTCATGGCATGGTACTGGAGGGGCGAAGGACCAACCTACAATTCAAGCTGTGGTGATTAACTGCAGGGGCACAACACACAAGAGGGACAGTTGGTCACATCTAGACTATGTCTAGCCAGGTGGTTATTTGTGGCGATGGAGCGAGCAACCTTCAACAGCGATCATTCTCGGCTTGGTCTAAAGACCGGTTGTGTTGGACTTCTGGCATATATTACATGCGGGACTACAAGATATACATGATCTATGTAGGCCCTAGGCCGTGGCTTCTACCTTGATTGAGCGCTCTCTCATAAAACATATTTTGTCGTGAACGGCTACATGGAGTGACCTCCGGAAGTGAGAATGAACGGCAATTGGAACTTGAACTTCCGCTACCTATGCTAGGGGAACGGAAAATATTATCACAATCGAATATCTGATTACACTATAAGCGAGCATAGTAAATATGTCACAAGATAAACTAAGGCTCAGAGCATTCAACAATGCTCGCTGCTTTTGTTCAAGAGCCCGAAGGTTCATTTCTGTAACTTCTCAAGTCGTTCATCCACATCTCCAGAACGACGCAAAGCGAGGCTCTTTTCTCATAGCTAGAACCAGCTATTCCAACATTTCCATCGAACTGCTAAGCTTCTTGCCCTCGTGTAAGAAGAATGAAGGAGGGAATATAACAAAAACGCCAACTCCAATTGCCATTGGTACCATATCCAACCCGATGAGATATCGCTCGGTGCGCATGAGATGGCCCTTCCATCCATCCGACAACTCAACAATACGGTATCCGTTGCGAAGTAGTACCATAACTGTTGACACACACAAAGCCACCAATACTGGCCTTTTAACTTGGGGGGCCAGCGCTTTCTTTTGTCGCAATCGGAGACTTGCTCCCACGATCAGGATGACGAAGACGATCGTGTTGCTGAACTGGAAGATGATTCCTGAGCGCATAACGTCGCCACCGTGGCTGAGTTGTTCGTAGTCCTGAGCGCTTGATACCTCGATTCCTCCGACGGTCTGGATGGCTAAGGAGATGATGTCGCAAATGATGAATCCCGCCCAAAAGAATGTGGATGGAATTGGGAAGAGGCGGGGGGTAGTCTTCTCGATACTTCTCTTGTCAGAACCTTCTTTGAAGCCTTCAGTCAACTCACTTACAGTTTGCAAAAGAGGACATAGTCTGCGGCAGACAAAAAGACAGGGCTGACCATGAGGCTGCAAATCTGGATCATAAATGCCATCCAGCTGTTTGGCTTGTAATTGTTAGCAACTGGTCATTGATTCAAAGTTAATACATACGTCGATATGAGCCCAGAGTCGACCTCCCCAGCCGATGGCCTCTCCCACAGCGACGACTGCAAGCGTAGTCATCCAGTAGTGCTTATATGGTCCGAATGCCATCTGCAGGATGCACACGACCATTGAAGTACCGAAGAACACAATGCCAAATAATGCGGCTGGCTTGCTGGGCAAGTACCCATACATATCCACATTTTGATCCATAGTGAGCCGCTCGTGTATTGATTTGTTTTCCGTGATTCCGATCTTATGATTTTTGCGATCAAGAAGGTAACTGGGCGTTATATGTAGTCAGGAGGACGGAAATTGCATTGAGCATCATTGTGGCTGCCTGCCGTCAACCAAATTTGTAGCAGCGATATAGAGACTAGTTTCGTCTTTTGAAGGCCCTAGTTTGCCTTTTTGAGGAAGTTTTCTGGCATACTCCCGTACAACCTCCGTACAATCGCCGGTTCCATCGATGGCGATACTGCTGCTTTTTCAATGATGAGGCAGGCAATTGATACACCAGACCTGATTGATGATAGACTACTCTGTCTGACATTCATTTCCAGCTTCCTGAACTCTCTTTATCAAGTCAGCCCGACGCAGCCTTGACATGTCCTGAATTGCGGTTCAGCTTCATAGCTGCCTCTATCCCCATCCTGTATCCTACATGGGGCGGTCTATTTGTCTCCACCATTTGTCTCCACCTTATTGCCGCTAAAGTCCCGCGATTTCTCCGCCTCCGTCCATCTCACTTTGTTAAAATCTCTCAACTGGCGGAACTTCATTGGAATCACCTCCAATGCCACTGAAACGAGGACTAGAACGAGTGTCCTGCGACTTTTGTCATCGACGAAAGATCAAATGTGACCGACTGTTGCGTGCTAGACAGGGCATAGCTGCATGTTCACAATGCACCCTTCGGGACATACAATGCCATGTGGATGACTCGGATGACATTCGGATTCGGCGGCGCCGCCAAACTACCGCTCGCGGAGGTATTCTCGAAGTTGGCACTGGAGATTTACAGCCTGCCCTATCGCAGCCATCGCCAGGTGTGGGAGGCGATTCAGCTTCCCGGGTGACCTCGGAATCACATATTCTATATCCTTCCCCGGGAAATGACAATGCGGCACTACCAAATATTTCGTTCGACATGTTTGCTGATAGTCCGTTTGCACTGAGTTTCGATAATATGCTTTTCCTCGATCAAATTTTCATGGGCAACTGCGGACCTGCTGAGGATCACAATGAACGAAGCCGGGATTCGCAGAATCCCACTTCTACCTCCGAGATGGCCCAGACAGACAGTCAAGAACAAGACGGAAAGGACCTTGTCCTTTCAAGTGAAGAACCCAGCACATATTCCTGGATGGGGGTCTCGGTAGACTCTGCATTCTGCACGGCAGCACTGCGTTCCTATTTCGATTATGCAGCCCTATGTCTTCCAATTCTCCTCGCGGATGCTTTTTGGGAAGACTATCATGCCAATCGGTGCAGTGAATTGCTTCTGCTTGCCGTTGCCTGCAGAGGTATGCCCTTCATTGAAGCTCCAGACAAGTGGAACCTCCAGCAACTTCTCGCAGCCGCTTTCCGCGAACGGTATCTCAGTGCTCGAAGCAACACATGTGACAATGAAACTATCCGACTAGACGATCTTGAAGCTCTTGCCCTCATGATCGATTTTGAGTATGATGACTCAAGGAGCCCGCCACTTCTGTCGAACCTTGGAAGACTGTTTCTTACC